ACACTGAAGCTTCTGCTCCACTGAAATGCTAAAATGTGCTACAGCCAAAAACATGACATTGGTGTAGACCCATAAGGTAACTGTAACAATCCTCGAATGAATGCAGAAAAACATAAAAGTAACATTTACACACATTGTTTTCCACATTGCTCTTTTAATCACACGATGTCACTTTGCATTCTTGTTCCTAATAGTTTAATGGCACCTGACTGCAGAAGATGCTCCATAAACTGTTTATCTTGATGTGCCTTAATATTTATATTCAAATAAACCGTGTTGAATGGAGTTTGGGTGGAAAGTTGATTTATGAGTTGTTTTTAGTTCCACCAAAGAGTTATCTCCCCTCTAATCCTCTCAGATGGTTTCATTTAAATAACTTGGAGGCTCAAAGAGGTGAAATTCTCCAAATATTCACAAAAACAAAAAAGACTGAAGGGAAGTCCAAAAAATGACACCTTTTTTTTCAGAAATTGCCAAACTAATCATCTCATGACTTCACAAATGTATCTTTCGACCTTTTGACAGCGCCCAACCCCTAAGTTGGGAACGGCTTCTAAATGACTTACCTGTATGGTGGTGAAAGTAGTGAAATCAGCTCCACCTTGACCAGCTACAACAGTAAAGTCCTTCTCAGTATTAACTAAAAATGTGATACATACTAATATATCAGTCTTTTGAGGGACAGATTTTAAATGCAGGAGTTGTAATGGAGTATTTTTACGTTGTGGTATTGATACTTTTTTTCCAAGCACTTTACACTGACCAACAATTAAAGTGTTTCTTTGTCATTGTATGTATTGTTTATGCTTTGTCATGGCATGACTTTCTTGTTTATTTACAGCGGGTTAAGTGATGGACTGACCATTTAACCCCTTTGTTCACCTAGGCGTGGTTCCTTTCCCACCATTCACCTAATGTGTTTTGTAACAGGAGACAGCAACTCATTGTTCCCGCATGTAGCAACAAAATGTTAATTTAAGAATTCAAGGAGGAATCACTGTCACACCACATCACACTTGCAGAAAAATCAAGTCATCGATCTCAATAACAACATATTTTGAAAACATGTAATGCATTCATGATTTCAATTTTTCCTAGTGACCCAGCTTAGCCCTGCAGTCCCCAGGCTTGTTAGGAGAGTTATGCAACAATATATGCATTGTAGTCTGACACAGACAGCTCACAGTTTAGTTTCACTCATTTAAATGTGAAGTGAAAACTGAGGTTGCAAGATGTACTCTGGCTTTGTGAGTTTAGACCACGTAAGCAATGACAGTAAATATTTATAAAAAAGTTATTTTTTAAGTAGAAATGGCAATTTGAAAATTGAAAATTTGCAGCTTTTCTCTGTTATTTATAATTGTAAACTGAATATCTTTGGCTTTTGGATGGCTGGTGGGAAAAAATAAGCAATTTGAAAATATTATCTTAGGCTCTGGGAAACTTTGATGTGCTTACTTATATGTACTGATTTTACCAAAATTTTAATAGATGCATTGGGACACAGACCTATTGAAAATAAGGATTTGATTAACATAGCCAGATGTAAGAGTAACAAAAAAAGCTAAAACAAACACAAAATGACAAAAACAGAATAACTGTGGAAATGTACAAAAACAGTCTCACCAAATATTATTTATATTCTAAATCTGAATTTTTTATGGCAAACCTTCTAAAAAGTTCTATCCGTTTATTACTTTATTACTAAAAATCACCAGGACCTTGACACTGAAGAAAAGGGAAACTGTACAGGTAGCGTGTTCGGGACCTTTGCACATCCTCTCTGGTGTATTGTTTTCTACAGTTGCTCAACATCCTAGAGGCTGTAAAAGACCAGTAAAAATAAAATAAACACCTTTCCCCAGGAAAGCCAGCATGCTGTCCCCCCCCCCTCTGATTTTCTGATTTTACCAGAAACAAAAACATGTCCTGTTTATTAAATCCGTTTCCCTCAATTGTACTTGATTAGAAGTAGAAAGTCTCTGGAGGAAAATTAATATTGTCCTGTTGCTTTGTTGTGCCTAAATAAAAATAAAAGAATGCACGTCACATCAAATAAACAACCAAGTGACTTCCTTTTACTTACTCTTTGGGATGAGATAAACGTAATAGTACTGAAAAAATGTATCTAAATTGTTACAATCAGCATCCTTTGGATATGTTTGTAATTGTTATCATTTCACTAATTCTGCACAGATCTGATATCAGCAAACACAATGCCTGAAAGTGAGTGTGTAATACAGTAAATACTGTTGGCCACATCCTAATATTTACTTTCGGATTTTTTTTTTTTTACAAAGGGGCTGAGCTTTCTCAAGTCAGACCATCTTCGTGCAACCATTTAGAGAGCTGTTTGTAGACAATGACCAATGACAGAGGTGTTGTATTTCAATATTTAAAGGTCACGATGGTGAGAAGGAAATCCTTCTGAAGAGGAAATACAGGTGTAATATGGAAAACTTGGCAGTACACGTCAAGTAGATGGATGAGACAATGAGACCGCGTATGAAAATAGAACTATGCATATACTGATGAAGAGCTCCTTGTGAGCATGCACGCACTATAACTGCTGTCAGATAAAAAAAAATGCATCTAAAAATGGCAGGAATAAATCACTTTTATTGGCAACAGGATGGAAGAATTTTCCAATTGCTCAGAAAGTAGTGCTTTTAATGTGAGGTAAAACATGAAAGAGTTATACGTTTTCCCATTTAGTTTTCTGGTACTTCAATGGCAACAGCAGACCCAAGCTGGCAGTTTCACAGTGAGGAAAAACACACTGAAAGGTTAAGATGTCAACGTATAAAATATATCCCAATATGGGGGGTCTGGTTGTGACATATGATGAAGGTTTAAAAACAGAACCAGCAAATACAGGACATCCGCAGACCAGGAAGGAGAAAAAAAACGCCTAATCTGACATTTGGCCTTTGCAGGTCACCGATATGTCACCCAGTCTGACATAGGTATGTGGGAGAAAGCTGTTAAAGCACTTTGTTGAGAGCAACAGAGTCACATGAGGGAAGTTCCATCTTCAGTCCAAAGCTGGAAATTCCTCAGAGAAATGGCGCTATAGCAGTGCAACATGGTCATGACTACATTATCCATTCATAGAGCCATGCTGCTGCTGCATCCTGTCAGCGCCTCAGAGCGGTCCTGTGACAGCACGAGGAATCTATAGGCAAGAGGAAGAGGCTCAGGGTAACTGGAGCAATAAACAAATCCATTCACAGTCTAAACAAGCTCCATAGATATTACTGAAGGCTGAAGTTGCTGGCATCGGAATACCGGAACAGCTTTTACTGGATTTTAATGGTTGCTTTGTGACCAACAAAGACGAGCAACAAAGGTCATATATAAAATCATAAAATTATTGCTCTTATTAGAAGTTATTAGTACTTGTTTTCAACACTGTCTTTAATCCAGTAAGAACTCAACAGGTGCTGCTGCTTTAAATACTCCTCCAACAACAGGATCTTGTAGGCTAATTATGCAAAAATTATTAGTGAGTCTATATACTGAGTATAAATCTCTCATGTGTATTCAAATGTCACTCTTTTATGGCTGCATTCAAGCTGGCTGTGTCACTGGCAAACAAACTGACATGGTGCATTAGACAGTTCACTGACTTCATTGAAACTGTTTACTAAGTTAGTTTGTTGCTATAAATAGGGATCATCAGCGTTCAAAGAGGGGAAACAGTAGTCCCTCTGTCCCAGCAGTACTTTCCCTAGTGTTTGAACAGCAGGAGAGTCCGGGGACCCGAACTCGGCTAATTAGCTAATTTATCAGCCCTGAAGGGAATGGCATGTGATTAAATCCAGTCAACAACAATCACTTTCTATACAAGAGAAGTTGTCATGATTTTCCAGAATCTTGTGAGAAGTAAACATCAGTTCTGGTAAACTAAGAAAAAGACTTGCAGGTAGTTTATCCTAGGTAGGAAGAATAGGACTAAACACATTACTCGAGTAGCTAACTACAAATTAGAGTATTTATTCTTTCCGTTTCCATTTTATTATACTTGACACAAAAAAATATTATACTTTTTACACTTTTCTTTGACAGCTACAGTTTGTAAATTAAGATTTTGCAATGCATGTAACAAAACATATAATCATGATATAACATTGCATGCTCTGAAATAGTACACAAAAGTAAATAAAGCAGGTCAAATGAGACTGCTGGATTCTTCTTTAGAACACATGAGTACATTTGGCTGATAATACTAATTAATTTACCTGTGGAGTATATTTACATTGAGGTATTAATTAAGTAAACGACTTAAATACTGCTGAAATTAAGTTTTTAACAACTGTGATCACGTTTGATGGTTGCATAGGCTCAGGATCAGGACGGCATAACCTAAACTGAACATTCTCTGACAAGGAGAGCCCCCTAGTGCTCAGATACACAGGGTCCATGCAGAGGAATTCTGACTCATTTTTATGGCTACAGCTTTTATGAATGTGCTCCTGGCTTGTACACTCACTCTGTAAGATGATATAAAAGCTAGGCTTGCCTACAGAACTACACTGTCTTTCACATTATCTCTTCCGGGTCAGATCTGTTACTTTATTTATATATAATAGTAAATGTCACTCAAACCACACAACAGCTGTAACTAAATAATTGAACACTATGCATACACTTAGAGGTAACCAGATATCACCAGTGCTGGAATTTTCAGTCACCTTTACTCAAGTATCTAAATACTATTTTTACCACTGAATAGCTCCACTCATACACTCAACTGTGTGTCTTGGCTATATTGGGCTACTCTATATAAGGTACACACATACAGAGCAGAAGAATAACACTGATTTAAATTGAATGAATATCCCATTAACAAGATGTGTTAGTGCTTCATCAATACTAGCTGTAAAGATAGTGCTTGAGCAATTCATTTACTGTAAAATGATTGTTTATTGTCCTCCCGTTTCTCTTGAAGCTCAACCTGATCCTCCACTGTTGCCATAGTTACCAAGTAACAAACTAGCATACTTGGGAAAGATCAGGAGCCAGATTTTAAGAGTTTGCTTTCTACAATTGATTAAATAATACTGATAACAAGGGATGGAGACTAAAAACACACGGCCCATTTTTCCTTGGTGAGTGACATTTAACCTCTTTATTTTGGGGGCTTAACATAACGGAGTATTTCTTAATAAGCAGTCGTGTCTTTTTATGATTTGTAACTTAGTGAATGTAGATCAGTAGTGGGAGAAGTATTTAGATCATTTAGTTAAGTATTCTGCAGTCCCCTTTCAGAGTCTTTTATTAGTGGAAAATAAGTAAGTATATTTACTCACGCACTTCGAAATACTTCTACTGTAATGACTGTACTCCAGCATTTCAATTTTATGCTACTTTATATTTCTATTCCACATCTCAGAAAGAAATATCGCACTTTTTACTCCACTCCTAGCCTACTGGACAGCTAAAGTCACTAGAATTAAAATTAATATTTTACATATAAAACATGACAAGTTTATAAAATAAAATGCATTAATAAAGATTAAAATACAGAACTCTGTATAAAGAAGTTCAATTTAGTCAAATGCTGCTTATGTGTTAATGCATCAGTAATATTATTCCATTAATATAGCCTATATATAATTGTATATTGATCTGGAAGGGGCCATTTTGCTCAATGAGTATGTTTACCTTTGCTACTTTAATTACATTATGCTGCCGAATCCTTTTGCACTTTTAAATCTTGAAAGTAGGTATGTTACCTTATTAGATATGATTACTTTTTCCACTGGTGTAACAATGGCTTAATGTAAACATTAATTTGAGCGAATTTTAATACTGTGTGTACTTTTTGGGTTTCATCTATAACATTGCATCATATTATATAAACTGAATATATACATTTTTTTAAAGATCTTAATCAGTCACCAACTACAGATGTGGAGATATGGGAGTAAGAAGTACACAGTTTCCCTCTGAAATGCAACTGAGTGGAAGTAGAAATTAACATAAACATTTAAGGAGAGCTCACGTACCTCCTCCACCTTTAGAGCTACTCTGTCTGTTTGCTCACCCTAACTGAACCAGCCTGGGGACAGGGGAATGTGGGGAGTCGAGAAATACTTCAGATAATTCAGAGGAGGAGTAAATGGGAGAAGGGAGAGGCAGAACTAGATAAGACAAACATTAACTAAAGGCATACAGAGACTGAAAGAAAATGGTCACTGAGCTGCTTCATTTAGACCCACACTACGTGTTATAGACCATTTCTCTGTTGAGAAGAGGGGATGCAACTGGACACCTCCCCCTATTATCAGCCTACTGCTAGGCAGAGAGGCTACAACAACAGAAATACACTGTTAGTATGTTGAACTCCAAAAGAACACAAAAGAAAGTGCCGTCAAACCAGAAGCACTATCAACAAAAATGAAGATGACTGAAATAGCATTGGATAAAATATTTAAAAATGTATATCACAGTATCATCTGTTTTGTTGTACAAAATTTCTAACTAATTCTAATTCTGTTTCTAAAATTTGTAGACCAACTGATAAAAATAATAACTATATGATTGTCTTGATTGTTTTTGCCTTACAAAATAGGCTACTTTTCATCACATTCACACAGTCTCAACAACAGTCCAAACCAAAAACAATCTTTTTATTAGGAATAAACCTGCCTGAACTGTCCATAGCTGAAGGTCAGCCTACTCTGCTGTATTTAAACATGGGTCGCATGGTCGTACTCGGAGAGCCTAATATTCTGTCAGGTGGAAGTTTGAGAAACACTGGCCAAACACACCCAAAGATCTGAAAGGGATAGAGACCTTGATGTAAACCGTACAGCAAAATCTCTGTATGTCGTCATTTGCCCAACTCATGATGATTCTGGGCTCTTGTACAATTGACAGTGATTGTACAAAACATATGCATCCCAGACATTTTGTAAAAAGTCTGTATTAGTGATCAGGATCAAACAGTACTAAAAAAGAAAATCGCCTCCCCAACTTAACAAAACTTGGATATGGTTTGTGCTCAATACAGTACACCTGCAGCAACTAATCCTCCCTTTGTGAAGCTTACAAAGTTCAACTTCCAGCAAAGAACACAGTCTTTCATTACAGATTGTAACTTAATCAGGTGGAATCAGGTAAAAGAGCAGAAGACTACTTCAGTTTCTCTCAGGAAGAAACAGCAACACTTGGCCTGAGTTCAGACTGTGATGCTGCAAAATATGATATCACGATGAACTACAGTAGGCTTCGCTTACAAAAGCTGTATAAGTTTAGAAAGATGGATAAGAGTGTTCAAGTGGGGAAATGTTTTTATAGGCTCATCAAATCCAAACACAAAGAGAACATCATGCACAGTATCAGATCCCAACAGAATAAACCCAGATGTGAAACAACATAAAAGTATCCTGAATTATTATCAGGCCCTCGATAGAGAATATAAATTGTCTTATCATCTCCTTTTCGTCAGAGATGCAACACAGCGACTGATCTTCACTAAGCACAGGCTGAGTGTCCAACTGGCAAAACATAAAGGAGGATATAAAAAGACAACTCGGAGAGCAACGTGCAAGTGGTTGAAACAGACGCACATTCTGCTCAAATATGAAAAAGTGCAGTGCTGCTTAACACACGTCAAGTAAAAACCAGTTCTCCTACTTCAACCTTTCAAAATCTTCTGAGGCAAAGGAGAAACAGCTCCTTTTTCAGTCAGATATATCTGGTGACCTCCTCAAAATGAAAGGATAATGAGTCTCAGTTGCTCTCTGTTGGCCATTGACATTATGTTATTATATGTCAGATTGTAATAATTGTTGATACAGTGTGTGACATAATTTCTAGAGAACTTAATCTTTGACTACCATTATCCTTACTGGTATCTATATTGTTTCATGAACTTCTGAACTCTATCTTTATTTGTTAATCCTCAGGTACAAGGAGAGGTTGCAGACCAAGTATCTAAAAACTTCAGCAAACAAGATTTTAGTAAACACAAGCCTTGATGACTTCAGTGATTGCTCGTCAGTCTTGTTCGGGTCCAACAGAGGTGTCTCACCGGTCATTCTCCATGGCGCTCCAAAACACAACTCCAGTCAAAAGCCTAGAAAGTGCATCTCTAAAGAGCATGCATGCTTCTCAAAGCAGATGATCCAAAAGCAGATTCGCAGAGAATATGTGTCTTCTGTAGAGGAAAAACTCAAGCAGCATCCTCTAGCTATGTATCCGTACTATAAGGATCACATCACATCAGAGGTAAGTGGAGATGACAGCAGTCTGGACTGCCAAGCTGTAGTAACAACGATGAGGGTCAGTATTAAACAATAAGGGCAGGCAGATGAATGAATTAAGTCTGAATGAAGCAGTTTAATACGTTTATCAAGACATTTACAGAGTCTCTTTAATTTCTCTCCAGTTATTTGATAAGGTGGTATCGGTTTTGGATCCAGACATGTGCGTAAACAGTGCCTCTGCACTTCCTACGCCTACAGTAGACCATGTGGAGGAGGAAGATGAAGAAAACTGTAAAGAGCCAAGTAAGGAAGAAGTGGACAGAGAAAAACACAATGAAATGCAAGTATACTGGCAATTTGATTGGTAGTATAAATATAATATACATTAATTTGCCACATTATTTATACCTGATTATGAAAAATAAGCTACTTAATACACAATTCTTCTCAATCATTTTACAGCAGCCCCAATGTCCAAACCCCAACTCCCAGAAATCCCTACATACTACAAATGAATGCAAATGGTATCAAGAAGGGCCGGACGATCAAAGTAAATCAACTGAGCGCCCATAAGGATATGAAAGCAGCGGTTACTGTTTGTCAAACCTTACTCATCAACCAATGTCATGTTAAAATGATGATACACGAGAATTATGTTTGACTCTTGCAGGACGAAGAGACCACTATTACTGAATCTGCCATACCTGGCAGTTTTGACATTGGCCCTCAAGACTCCTTCCTCACCAACTTCCTCCCTTCAAGAACACCATCAGTGACACAAGAATGAAACCCTGTCATAGCCATAAATATACAGGACGGTTAGGTTTCAAAAGCCTCTGAGACAAATAAGGTACAAAAAGAATAAAGTTCACCAAATCGTAAACCCACAAATAGTACAATATAATCTTTGATGGCTGCTCGGTAGAAAAATCCAAGAACAAGGAGCTGGACTTTGATATCCCAAAAAAGTGATGACATCAGGCCTACAGTATCATCTCAAGACAATTCATGTCCCCTTTGCAGCATATGAAGCAGTTGGTTTGTTGACAACATGAGGAGTTGAAACAGATGTATGTAACCTTAGCTGTCAGCGAGTTTCACAGCATTTGTATACAGGAAATGCTGTTCAAAACCACACTGTAAAAAGACAAGAAAAAGGAGAAGTGCATCTAAAATATGTCTCACTGCAGTTTCTGAATAATCTCCTTACTGAAGAGGAAAAAACAAGCTTCAGCAGAGGTTTGGGTCTGTTTCGTTATGCAGTATAAGGGAACACGGATAATTAAGCACTGTGTATACGCAGAGGGGAGCAGAGGTTTTATGTTAAATGGGTGCCTAAAATTAACTTGGCCAGCTAATATAAAGACTGCAATATAGACCTTTTTCACAGCAGCCATTTTGATGTAAAATAGTAGTGTAACACAGTTTTTACCAATGATACTGATTAAGGTTGAGTTCCATTTAGTGTCGCACAGCCTTTCCAGTGAGCCAACATACACAATAGCAGCACACTGACTCTAATTGAGCTGAATGGAACGGAACATTAATCAGTATCATTGGCAACACCTGTGTTTACCCTACTATTTCACATCAAAATGACTGCTGTGAAAATGGTCCATTGTCAGCTATTCCTCCCTATTTGTATCATGCTTGTTTATACTGTGTGTACTACTGTATATGCAAATATATGATACATATACAAAATCTAGATATTTGTTTTTTTTTTGCCATGATTCCTGGTATGAAATAAAAAAAGTCCAACACATCCATTTACAGAAAAAAACTTTATTTATACAATAAATTACAAAAATGCACCTGATTATAAAACCATCCTTGACAAGTTCATCTGGGGAGCCTTTCAAAATAAAAAAGGAGCTTTCTGAAAGACAAAAAAAATGAATTAATTCTGAGAAAAATTTATTTAAAATGTTTATGAAAACTTTGATGTCTGTGAGCTGCTGAAGGACATGTGTAGCAGGGAACTTCTATTGGTGAAATGGATTTCAGTTGCCTCATTATATCCTCATACTTGTGTGCTAAAGATGATAAAATAATCAATGTGAGAAAACATCTATCCGTCTTATCATTTGTTATTGATCAGCAGTAAATATTTGACTTTTGTGTCAATGTTATTCAGCTTATCCCTCTCCTCACAGTAATTAAGATCTAATAAATGTGTATTCTATTAGTGTTTTATTCTAAAAAAAAGAAAAAAGAATGTAACTGCTTAGTTTATTAAAACACAATCTGTTATCATACCATCATATCTGCTGAAATGATAAACTGTATGTTTATGACGTAGAATATAAACAGCTTACTGAAGAGAGGAGCCAGCCTTGGGTCTGTTGTGTTGTGTCAGTCACTGTTGGCTGTTCAGGTCAGAGGTCAGGAGTGAGTGGACGGGTGACCTGCGGCCCAGGGACATTAGCTGTGGGGAGGAAATGTACCTCGCTGCAGTCGTTGGACTCAATATAAAACGGCCTAGAAAAGTCATAACGTATATGTTAAGATAATTCAACATTGATATTGGTAAAAAAGTTATTTCTTTGTGATTAATTGGTCTATTTTATGTAAGGCAACTTATGGTTATTTTCATTTTTTAATAATCTGCTGATCATTTTCTCATATAATTGGTAGGTCTATAAAATGTCAGAAAATAGTGAAAAAATGTGCAGAAAAAAGGTGACAAATCTCAAACAAGATTGATTTCCAATGACATAAGAAAAGAGAAAGGTTAAAAATCCTCACATTTAAAAAAAAGCTGGAAACGGAGAATATTCGCTAGTTTTGCTTGGATAAGGCTTAAACAACTAATCAATTATTAAAATAGTTGATTGTTTTTCTGTTGGTCTAGTAATCATTGGGGCTTTGATGTTGTACGGCAGACAAACACTACATTTATGAAAGGAGTAAAAACAAACTGAAATACATTTGGGAAAAAGGCAACTTTTTGTTGGATTGCATGACAATGACGAAAACTCACTCTCACTGGAGGATTCGTTGTTGATTATTTTCCCGCTCAGCTCAGCCGTTTTCAGGAAATGTGGCTCGCTGTACACAGTGAATGCACAAACACACACACACATTACATCACATTACAGAGCCTGTAGCACTTTGCAGTGCCTTGCATGTTGCATGAGGGGTAATAGGTCACGTGGGTGGATGGTGTGACCATCTCTTAGCCTCAAGGCAAGTCAAGCTCAAACAAAACAAAACACTAAGTTTGCTAGGTTTGGGCGCGCTCCCTACCTGCCACAGGTTTTTCCTCTAAATCTGGAGCCAGCTTGTTCTTCTTCGGCCTTGTCAGTACTGCTGAAGTTGGCAGGGTTATATTAAAATACACAGTGAGACATTACACAAGAACATATTCAGTCATATCTGTTGTTATAGTCCATAACAGATAACTTAAGACGCTAAGGAGTTTCTTAAACTATACAAGGTCACAACAGCTTGTCTACTCTTTTTATGGTATATTAAAGTTCAAGCAGTGAAACTGACTTCCTGCATCACATGATTTTCAGATGTGACCTAAGCTAGCCTAAGAATGAAGCTAATCCTTGCAGTGTGTGGGAAGTCAGACGTACAATGTGGTTCTGTGCACTCTCTCCGGCGCAGACCTCCTTCTGTGGAAGCTGCTGCCGGGAGCCCCGTTATCTGTGTGTGGTCTGTGGTTCTCCGATATCACCGCTCGCAGCTCTTTGACGAGAGACCTGAGCTCCCGGGCGGAACTCTCCTGATGCCTCTTTGACTTCAGCAGGCCACAGTTAAGAGAGAGGGGAGAAAGACAATGTCAATGCACTTCTGTGGTGGTGTCAATATTATAAGTAGCTGATCTGACTAGCTTGCATCTGAGAATACGAGACAATCTCACAAAATCTATTTCTAGTTCATGCTTAAGTGAGTAAAAAAACAGAACTGTAGTAGCACTATAAAATTGAGCAAAAAAAACAAACTGTGTTGAAATGATTTACCGTCAGATTTCTCTCCTTGCAACAGGAATGTAATGACGTGTATGTTTTCGATTTAAAGGCCTAGCAGATGTGCTGAGCTTGTGTCTGTGCAGCCAAATAAACAATGATTCACACATGCACTTGATGGGCTGGAACCGTAGGAGATAAACGAGATATAGGGAGTTCCTGACAGTACCGTGATCCGGGTGTTGGAGGCGTGCTGGGAGGAGGGTGGAGCAGTGAGTGCACCTGGGGACGGGGTGTCCAGGTCAGATGGAGGTATATTCAGAGCCGTGTGCAGATTTTGACCTTGGAGCTCCTCCAGAGAAGATAAAATTGGTTGTAAGATTTGTTGAAGTGGAATTCTGGCTAGATCGAGACATTATTAGGCATAAAGAGAAAACAGCTGAGGAGCTTAGCATAAAGCATTGAAACTAAATATGGGTATATTGTGACACATATAGGCATACTGTGTATAGGGTGGATAAGCCTTTTTCCCTCTCATCAAAAAGACTCTGTGTATGTAGTCAGCTCTACCTTTAAGTCCAGGGCATGATGGAGTTTCAGACGGAAAAACTCCTGCTCTTGCAGCTGGATGAAATCTTGACAGTCTGCAAAGCTCTCTGTCATCTTTGGGAAGATACAGAGCATATGAAGCAATAACACAATGATGGACACAAACACACAGAACAAGAGTGATACGTTTTTTTTTTTTACTCAAATATATAAACTCAAATTTTGGTTTTGTTCCAGTGGGAGAGATAGAGAGATGATAACAGTTTGGGGGAAAGTGACGCCAAAACCTTTAAGACAGTTGTTGATGATGAGCCAACCTTTCCTAACTGTAGGATTTTTTTCTAATAATCATATTTTGAGCATTTATCCTGTTATTAGATAGCGGGCAGTAAAAAGTTGTGAGTAAATGGTTAAACGGGGGAAGGAAATCAACCCGCTGACTGGACACAAACCTGGGACGTTACGGTTCGTAGACAACACTTTAATCTCGACGCTACCGTGAAACCAAACCATGTACTTTTGAAAACAGAAAATATTTCAGTGTGTACTGTCTCAAATTGACTCTCAATGCCAAGTATCATTTGGTGGTTATATATTGACTAGAATAAAGTGTAAATGAGCAGCACCTTGTGAAGGATTGCCTCCAGCTGGTCGATGCGATCCCTTAACTGTTTATCTTTGGAGCGAAGGGCCTCCAGTTCATTGCCAAGTTGTCTCTTCTCCTCTCTGACGAAGCTGAGTTCTTGGAGCTGATGCTGGTGCTCCAGGCTTTGGTAGCGCTCCTCCTGAAAAGGATAGGAAGAGTCCACAAAGAAAACAATGGAACAAATGGTGTGGATGAAATGCATTTGAATCTATCATTTTGTGGGATTGAGCAAAGTTGTCTCAATCCTTGTCTTGTCTAAATAAAGCTGTCTTGTCTCAAATGAAGTAACTGTTGACTGGTCACTGTTTTTTATTCAGTGCCAGATTCATAACTGGAAGATTTTCAATGGTCATTAATGAGAGTCTTACAAAGTTAGCAGGTTATATTTTTCTTCCTGATTAGGACCATATGATCTCCATGAGGTAAGGCAGTCAGAAAAAAACAGCACTAGTTTCTCGTGTTAAAGTCCATTACATCCTATTTATTTTGGCTTACCGATACGTGCAGCCAATGTTCAAACAAAATTGAAAGAAAAATAAAATTGAACGGTTTACATCAACAGATCAAAAGATCTAAATCCAAGTTGACTGATCCACATAAACACTGGTACATTAAGTTTTTCACCTGGTACAGCTTCTCCATAATCTCCTCTAAATGTTGGATTTTGCCCTGCAG